TGGAATGCTTCGATTCATGGGGCTTTTCTCAGTCATAACCTTAATTCCATCTCCTTCCTGTCTTTAGACCCATCTTCAATCTCAGATAGCACTTTTTTGGCAATTTTTTTTATGTTACGTGTTGGGATAGTTTTCTTTGTGTTTATTTTGTTTAAAGATTGTGAGCTTCGGGGATCTGAAAATTTGTAGTTTTCAACAAGTATGGGAACTGTTCATTATTTTTGTCCTCTGCTGCCCCTCACTTCATTCTGGGTCTCCAGTTACCTATAAACTAGACTGCTTGATATTGTCCCTCAAAGCACTGAAGCTTTATATTATTTAGTCTCTGTTTTTTCTGATTTCATTTTGCATAACTTCTTTTACTATGCCATTTACTGATATTTTCTTCTGAAATGAATATACTACTGCTATTTTATCCAGTGACTTTCTAATTTCAGATATTTAATTTTCATCTCTGGAAGTTTCATTGGTTTCTCTTTTATGTCCTCTATTTGCATCCTTGTTATGTTCATATTTTCCTTTATGTCCTTGAGGATATGGGCATATTTATAATAGATACCTTAAAGTTCTTGTCATCAATTTTGTCATCCCTTTCTTTATGGGATTACATCTACTGACTGATCTTTCTTTGGGTTATGGGCCAAGTTTTTATCCTTTTTAACATATCTAGTAATTTTTTTTTATTGGGTGCAAAACATTGTGAATTTTAGGTTGCTGAGTGTTGGATTTTGTTGTATTCCTTTAAAGATTATTAGATGTGGTCCACATTTTGGAAATTTGATCTTTTGAGTTTTCTTTTTAAGTAATTTTAGGGAAAATCTAGAACAAAACTTACTCTGGGCAACTTTAGCCCCACGTCTAAGATGCCCAGGTCCTTCTGTAGATTCTACTGAATGTTTTGTGTACTTAAGAAGGCATCTCTACTCTAGCTGATGGGAACTCAAATAACTCCCAGCTCTGTGTGAGTTTTGGGAATTGTTCATCTTACAGCTCCAACATAATTTGTCTTTCCTTGGATGATGTTCCTAGTCTGGATTCATGGGGTTTCATATTATTCATATGTATTTGATATTCAGCTAAATACTTATGGTCTGGAGCTCCTTCTCTACATAGTTTATCTCAGATACATTATCCTGCAAACTAACTTCTGCAACCTCCTCAAATTGGAATATCTCCCCAACTCAATAAGATTGCCAGGCTCATTTTGGTTTCTCCATTTTTATACCACAGCCCAGAAATGACTTTCACACAATAAGCTCAACTCATTTGTTTCTTTTCTCAGAAACATTAGTTGCACTGCCTATGTTCCAGTTTCTGAAAATAGATGTTTTCTATATTTTGCCCAGTGTCCTCGTTGTTTATGGATTAAGGTTAATTCTAGACTCTGTTACTCCCTCATGGCCAAAAGCAGAAATATCCTTCTTTTCAAGCATGACTTCCTTTTATGCTTATGATTTCACTTCAGTTGCTTTCAACACATAAGATCCTCTCCCACCACTGTGCTTATGTGTATACAAAATTAAAAGTTCCTGAATAACTGATTGCTTTCTCTTAAGTTGTCGCTCTTCTCTCTTCTCAAGAAATTCTAAGATATTTTTCATCTGAATTTTTGACTGAATATACAAAACCACTTTTGGGATAAGAGTCATTTGTACTCTAGATGAAGAATCAGGTGGTGGGATGCCTGGGTGGCTCAGTCGGTTAAGCATCTACCTTTGGCTCAGGTCATGATCCCAGGATCCTGGGATCAAATCCTGCACCAGGCTCCTCCCTCAGCAGGGAGTCTGCTTCTCCCTCTGCCTGCCACTCCCCCTGCTTGTCCTCTCTCTCTCTTTGTCTGTCTGTCTGTCTCTCTCTGACAAATAAATAAATAAAATATTTAAATGTTTAAAAAAAAGAATCAGGTGGAGATGCATGGGAGGACAGAATTGTGTTCTATTCACTCCTAGTATCTGGAGTTGCAGGCTGCCATAAGAATGAATTTTAAATATCAGTGAAAATAAAAGTATGATATTACAATAGCCAAAATATAGAAAAAGCCCAGATGTCCATCAACTGATGGATGGATAAAGAAGATGTGGTATACATACACAATGGAATAATACTCAGCCATAAAAAAGAATGAAATCTTGCCATTTGCAGCAACATGGATGGAGCTAGAGAGTATTATGCAAAGTATTAAGCAAAGTAAGTCGGTCAGAGAAAGACAAATACCATATAATTTCATTCATATGTGGAATTTAAGAAACAAAACAGATAAACACAAGGGGAAAAAACAAGAGAAAGAGGCAAACCAAGAAACAGACTCTTAACTATAGGGAACACACAGAGGATTGCTGGAGGGAAGGTATGCAAGCGGATGGGTATTAAAGAGGGCACTTGTTGTAATGCACACTGGGTGTTATACGTAAGTGAGGCATCACTAAATTCTACTCCTGAAGCCAATATTAAACTATATGTTAACGAACTAAAATTTAAATTAAAACTTGAAACAAACAGAACTACTCAAATAAAAAAGTATATTACATAGATTTTTATCATAATTAATTTATTATACTGTAACAGAAAGGAAATGTCCCCTTGGTAGTTGATTTTTCTTTCTTATTCTAGATGTTTAACACCTCTACATTTTCTATGAAACTCAAGATGGTTTGACAGAAAGTTTTGTTATGAAAAATTTTTGAAAGCTGGTTTTAAGTATAACTGTGAAGTTAGGCAATTACTATTCACTCCAAGTCAGGAAGAGGAAGTAGCTGCAGATCTAGCTAGACAGAAATCATCATGGTTTTTAGCCTAGAAGATGAGAAATATAGCACTATTACCAAAATCGATCTTAATATAATCATTATCATGAAGTATTAGAGAACACATAACTTAACTTTGTTCTATTTGAATCAGAAAATTCACAGTTTTCATAGGATGCAAATGGTTCAAAGATTGTATTGTATCAATGTTTTCATATTGTTACTCATATCTCCATAATACAATTTAACTGAAAAAATGATTTTTAGGTGCAGAATTAAGATATATTGTGGGCCTTAGAGGGAGAATAATACCCCCAAAATTTTGGATATTGACCTAAACCTTTATTCAAGGCCATCCAGAGTTTAATAATAATGTTGGGTTATATAAATCTTGTAAGTACATATTATCATATTTTTAAATATACTCATAAATGAGTATAAGTCATCCTAAGTAAAATTACTAATTTATTCAGGTAAACAGCAAAGACCTTTTTTGCCACATATTTCAGAGTGCAATAATGCTGTGATTTTTTTTTTTAAACTTCAAATATTCAGCAGCATAAACAGTGGTAAGTTTGCCTTAGACAATTTGGAAAATTGCCTGGAAAGAGTCAGGGTGCTGCAAATTATTTTATCCAACATGAAATCTATGAATTGGGGAGCTGTAAACACCGTGCATGAAGGTACCACCACATTCCCATCTCCCTTATAGTTAGTTATAGGACTTCCTTGTAATAATATCCCTTTCAAGTATAACTATTTTCATGGATGATAGTTTATTGATTCAGTCACATTTCTGGTCTTTTGTAGTACAGTTCAAGATTTTATTGTTTTCTTGACCAAGCTAAAATAAAACAGATGCAAGCAAATCAGACAAAGATGTGAATTTGGCATGTGACTAATCAGAGAGTAGAATTAATGTTTCTTCCTTGTTTAGTTAAGCAATATTAAACATATTCTGTTATGGTGAACAAGGGGTAATCCTTTCATAGTAAAAATTGCTAGGTTTTGGTAATTCTGACATTTGTAATCAATTAAGCATTAGAAAAAGTAATAGAAATATGATACTAAAATCTAGGAAATCTAATAGACAACAGGAAGACCTACTGGTCTCAACTCAAAGTCTTAAGTGTTAATGCTCATGTTAATTTTTTAAAAAGCCATTTATTACATGAGTACTTTTATCCCTTAACCTTGAGCACCTACTAAGTTACCAGGATAGTTAATTCACTGAATCACCCAGCCAACAAATATATATTGAATATGTGTGTATTTATATACATATATATAATCATAACTATCATAACTAATGTGTCATGTGATGTGGGGCTGCAAATTACATTTGGTCAAAATGCAGCCATTTTAATATTCATCGTGAGGTAAGAGAGGGACACTATCAGTACATGACAAGCAGAATTTATTTTTAACTCTCAATAAATTTACATTTGTGTTTTACAAGAATAAAGAATAATTTCAAAATGTACTGATACGCCAACGTTTAAAAAATTAATGTATCCATAAGTTTGGATGTTTCCAACTGGGAGACAAGACTGTTTTAGTTGCAAAATAGCTAACTGATGCTTAGGTCCATGGACTGTGATGTTCTTGCTTAGCAAGAAAATCTAGATATAGTGTGAAAGCATACTGGCAAGATCTTGGGATTAGTTGTCAAGAATCTGTGAGAGTTTAAATGGAAAGCACATGCAATTTTCATTCTAAGAATGGTATTTATCTTTTTTAAAAAATATGCCCTAGACAAATGTTTCAATATTGATACTCTGTCCAAAACTTTACCAGGGTATATCATGTCCTATTATATCAATTTTCCTTTTATACTTAGCTAGACATTACTTTATATATAGCAAAATAGTGAGTAAAAAGTCTGAACTTGAGGTAGTTTTCATTTTTTCTCTTTCAACATCATTTTAAACAAAAAATTATGATAGATTTACAGCATGATGATTTTTAATAAATTACTCCAATATAAATAAATCAATAAAGGAAAGACAGGATGTAAAAAATTTATTGATAAAGAAACTGATTAATATTTATAATATAGGCAGGGAATCCTTTAAGAAATATTTCTTGTTGAAAATTTTCTTTCTAGCTGAAGAAGAAACTTCTTCATTGTTATCCTTCCAAATAATCTATGTCACCATGGAGAAAGATGATTCATCAACAATTTAGTACGTTTTATTCCAACCCTGTGTGTTTTTCAGAATCTTTAAACAGCTGAAGTTCTTGCATTTAGAGTACACTTTAAAATATTTCTATCCTTCAATCTTGCCACTTAATAGTAAATGTAACTTAACAAGATCTAATTTTTAATCAGTGCTCATAAATTGAGGATTGTTAATTTTTTCTAATTTACTACATGGTGAGGGAACCAAGGGATTTAGTCTGTTAAATAAAAAATTAAATTTTCTTCCTTGAGAAATAATAGTAGACAATAATCAGTTTGATGTTTGAATAATATATAAAATATACATATTTTCTATAGCTTTTGAAAATTGTCCACAATATTTGATAGGGAGTCACTGATAAATTTCTATTTTTCTCAAAAAATATGCTATAGATATGAAATAAATAAATCTCTTTACATATATCAACCATGTAACTATTATTCTCGAAGTCAAAATAATTTGGGCTCTCTAATATATTTAAAGTTTTGAAAGTTAAAATGTTTTAGTATAATTCCACCCCAAACCAAAAAAACAAAACTAATTATGTGCAAGGCAGTGGACTATGTGTTATTTGCAAAATCATTTTAAATTAACTGCCCATGTCATCACAGCACTTTCTTATCCTTCTAATCTATTTTGTTAAATTGTTGAATAATTTAACTGTTGCCTTCTCCTTTGTTCCAGTTTACATAGAATCAAAGAATAGTCAAGAATTTAGAAATGATTTATTCTAAACCCCCTCATTTTACAGATACAGAAACTAAAGTCAGGAAAGGTGGTGCAATTTTTTCTTTATATTTGAAAGTTTAAACCTGTAGAAAAGCTGAAAGAATAGTACAATAAACACCAATATAACCTTCACCAATTGAGAACATTTGTCAAATTTGTTTGTTCTCTTTCTCTTTGCACACATATGTGTGTATGTATGTATATGTATGTATGTATGTTGAACATCATGCCACTTCATCTCTAACTATTTTAAAACACATCCTGATTAGGACATTCTCCTACAAAAGCACAATACAGTTATTAACCTCAAGAATATTTACAGTACTTCAATTATAACATCTACTGTTCAATTTTCTTTCTCCAACATGTCTTTTATAACTTGTTTTTTCTTCAAACCAGGATCCGATCAAATTTCATTTATTGTATTAAGTCTCACTGAAATATTTTTATCAAAACAATCCCTAGGTTTCTTAGTTTTTGTTTTTAATGACACTGAATTTTGTGCAAGTTCAGGACAGGTGTCTAGTGAAAAGCTCCACATTTTGGATTGGATGATTATTTCCTTATGATCAGATTCAAGTTAAGCTTTTTGGGCAAAAATATTACATAAGTGATAACATATAACTCTCATTGCATTAATCATGAGTCACATAAAGTTACAGTGTGTCACTAATGGTGATCTTAAATTAAATGGCTCAATTAAGGTAATAATCACAAGATCTTTCCATTGTAAAGATCTGTTTTCCTTTTGTAATTAAAAAAGACTATATGTATGATGCTATTTTAAAACTATGTAAAAATTCTGTTTTTTAATAAACTTTCACCAAGTTGTATGCATATCTCTTCTATCTTTGTCTAAACTTCATGTTACATTGGGGATTGCATAATGGTGATTTGCTAATTCTATCATTCTTTCCACGCTTATTGCTAACACTCCTCTATGTGGAATATAGTTTCTCTTTTTCAGGCCTCTTTATTTCCTTACCCCTTCCAATCATTGTAAGGGCTCACTTGATCACAATTGTCCCTTTGGCCAGAGATCACTGTCTCACACATACTCCTCATCTTCACCATGGCCAATGCTCTAGTCCTTGTCCATGCACCAACATCCACTGTTCTGGCCACCCCAGATATGTCTTGGGATCTACTCAGTCCCAGTTTACTTTAGGGCTCTAAAGGGCTGAGGAAAGACTGGATGAGAGACCCAGAAGAAAGGAAGGACCCAAACTATTATTTATAGTCAAAGGATTCAAGTTTAATGGAATCAAAGTTTGGGTCTCAGGATTAAGGCTGAGAGACATGCTATTTACTTATTTACTTACTTACTTATTTATTTAAATTTTTAGTGGACATTCTCAAACATAGCAGAAGCAGAAAGAATAGTAGAATAACTCCCTAAATGCCCACCCCTCAATTTCAAAACTCAATATTTTGCCAATTTTATTGCATCTATTCCTCACTCTCTTTTTTTGTTGTTGGATTATTTGAATACAAATCCCACACATCATGTCATTCCATCCTCACATGTCAGTATGTGTCTTTAACTGATAGGGCTTATGGTAGGTAGAATTCCAAGGTATTTCCTCTAAATTCTTGGGCACTTATGCATACACATCTTCTCTCAGTTATTCAAACACTAACATAGGCACTGCTGTAAAGAGTTGTGCAAAAGTAACTAAGATCCTAAATCAGTTGACCTTAAAATAGGACGATTTTTTTTTTGAGGTGGGTCTGACCTAATTACATGAGTCTAGGTCTAGAGATCAGAGACAGAGGAAGTCAGAAATTCATCCCATGAGAGTACTAGACATGCAAGATAATCTCCATTACTAGCTTAATGATAGAGGGGTCCGGGCAGCAAAAAAAATGTGGTCTTAAAGAGCAGAGAGCAGCTTCTGATCAACAGCAAGTAAGAAAATGGGGACTTCAGTCCTAAAACTCCAGGGAATTGAATTCTGTCCACAACTTCTATGAGCTTGGACTCTATGTCTCTGATGGGAAGAGCAACCCAGAATGTCACTTAGTTTCAGCAGTTTGAGACCCTGAGCAGAGAGAAGGCAGCCATGCTGTGCGAGACTCCTGATCCTCAAAAACTATGGGATTATTTTTAAGCTGCTAGATTTGTGGTAATTTATTATATAGCCATGGAAAACTGATCTTTTTTTCCTAAATATAATCACCATACTATTATCACATGTAACAATCACTGCTTACTATGTATTATGTATGAAGGGTCTTAAAGAACAGGTGATCTTGGCTGCCATGTTATGTAAGTAGGCTTTTACGAACCCTTTGGGAAAGTTAACAACAAAGTATAATCTTATAACTATGTGGGAATTCAGACAACTAAGATACAAATAAACATTTGGATCATATTCCAATAAAATTCAATGTCTGTATTTCTGAAATTAATCAGTTAAAGCGTAATGAAATGATTGTGGAGACCAACTTACTTAGAACATGTTAAATCATGTCATATTTAACCTCTCCTCTTTGATGAGTCTCTGCAATTTTAAATAATTCCAATGACTCATTTCTCTAAAAGTTTTTTTGAGTGTGTGTCATTTACATTACATAGGAGTTACTTCTCCCAAAGATGCTTTTCCCCTTTCCAGTCTCTTTTGCAATATCCCCAACACTTTACTCAACCTTGTGCTTCAGGGTTTGGTTTTTAAAGATATAGGAGCTATATAAAGAAGAAATACCTGACAAAAAGATACCCAGAGATTAATAGTTTTTTCTTCTGATAGTGGGTACACAGGTGTTCATCATATTGTTTTCTGAACTTGCCTTTATTTAGAATTTTGTTTCCAAGTTAAAAAGGAATCTTTCATTTTCTAAATGGTACTTCTTCTGCTTCTGATATAAATTCCTTTGTGAATTTTGATATCTTGCTCTTCTTCAGTGCAATACTTACTGGATATTTCTTTGAGATTTTGACTACACATTTCCCTGAAAACTTCATTTGCCCAACTAACTTCCTTAAGTATTATAGCTCCTTCTTTAAAGATTTCCTCCAGATCTTATCTCTTTTTAGAAGTCTTCCCAGGTTTGGGGGAGAAAAATTATTGATGTATCTCACTCACCTTCAGCATAAGAACCACAAACACCTAATTCCTGAAGTCACATAATTACATAATCAGACAAACTGATTTCCAAGCTCTTCTCTTGCAAGTTGAGGCCTATCCTGGTTTGTAACAAATATTCCATGTGTGTGTGTTGATAACAACAGAAGCTCTGGCAGTTGAAATTGCTTTGAATGTAGAGGAATCAAAAACAGCCACACAAGCATGGCTGGTTGTTAAAAGATTTCAATTAGCAGTTCTAAATGTGTGAGATATACTTTTTACGAAAGGTTTCCAAATCATACATCCACAGGTATTTCAGTAGCTTGGATATATATGTTCTGTAAGAATACATGTTACTATTGTTCAAATGTATGTAGGTGATGATGTGAATAAGAAGTATTATTGAATTGATAGTAACTTTGTCATTATGTATTTTCCTAGTTTGTGAATAATAAAAATAGAAATGCAGTTATATAGGATCCTGCTATATTTCTGTTATACATTTTTGGAAAAAATTTACATATATATATATATGAATCTGGAAGGATGTATGTAAAAATTGAATACTAATAATCCCCAATTGATTGAAACAAAGAGTGATCTCTATTGTCTTCCTTGTAGATTTATGATGATCACATATTGCTTCTATAAATCCTATCCACCAAAAAAACTCCATTAATATATGTATTATGTAAATATACACATATATTATCTGTATGCGTGTATATATGTGTGTGTATCTCAAAAAAAAAAAAAGAATTTCCAGGAAACAAAAATGTATCATACCCTCAGAAACCTTGCAAACCACTGATTTAGTTAAGAACACAGAATAAGAGATTTGAGCTTTGATATTTTTGTGAATTTTCTGTCGCTGTGAAACATAAGTGACTTCATTTGAAGCCTTCTAAAAGCTGTGTAACTGCTGGTAAAATTGGCTTTTAGGAAGAACGGAATGCATTAAGTCTCATGCAAATGTTTTACAACAAAATAGCACATTGTAAAGCTTCTCAATAATGATTACCAAGGGCTCAGTCGGTAGTGGCCAAATGGATATCCATACTTGCCATCAATTGTCAGAACTGGTCTTCAAAAGTCAAAAATAGTTAAGTATATTGACAAAGACAGCTGCCTTCCAAGAGCAGAAATTAAATCCCCCCCTAAGAAATACCATTTCTCTTTTTGATGCTTACAGTCCCCAAAACTGTGAATCCCCACAACCTTCCTAAATAGGCATCTCATCATTGCTCCAAACAAATAAAAAGCATATAAATGAAGTGAATATATAATTTATGAGAGCTGCCAACATTACACGACACCATTGTTCCCTAGAAATCTTGTTCTAAAAGTAGTCACATCTAACTCACAGGGACTGTGAGCCATCACAGTTACATCACAGGGTAACTGTGGCCATCACCTACGGCTGTTGCATTACATTCTCTAGGTTAAGGCATGGCCAGTCTGTAGCAACTTTCACCTGGGGACGTTTCTCCTGACTTGACCCCCATTTGGAAATGTGTTCCTCTGTTGTAGCAGTTATGAACCATGGAAGGAAAACATATCCTTTCTTTGTTTCACCACAGAAATAACAAACATAGCCCTCACCCAGTTGGCTGAAACAAAATGTTTCACTAACCATATAAAATGCCTGTGTTCAGGAATTTTAAATATTCTTACAGAAAAAGGGTGTTATAAAAATTTTTCTTTTAACGTGATTCATTTGCTAGGACATGAAGACTCTTAGAATTGATATAATCATGATTAAAATTGCAATGAATGTTTGAGAAATGAAAAGTGTATCTCTAAATCATTTTGCATTTATAGAAAATAGAAAATAGAATGTTGATCATAAAAATTTAATCAAGAAGTTACTCAAATATGTTAAGTCGATTAAAAATTAAACTTTTTAAAGTGTTCTGTTTTATTTTATATTAGTTATCCAAGAAGAATTGAAAGACTATGACTTGTATTTTAAAATTCATTAGTTCCATTAAACAAATATAGTTTTAAAAATCCTACTATGGGCAAAAACCTGGGAGGGAACAAGAACAAAGTGAAGCATATTTTCCCCATTTGGAGCTGACAGTATATGGTATATTTTCTTGACTCTAAGATTCTTATTGTTTCTCTGTTTGAATAGGTCTCAAATTGGGATTGGTCTTTTAGTTAATGCATACATTAGGAAAAAAGTTTTTAATCATTTCTGCATCTGACATTTGATTTCATCATTCCACTGTACCTGATCGTCTAGAAGCAGGTATCAGAAATTGGCATACTACTTAATGCCATGGGAATGTTCCAAATCTCATTAGGGACAAAAGAATGCATAGGCAAGGTCTTGAGAGAATCCTGCTCAACAACAGATTATTTTTCTGGCTGCCTTCTCAAAATGGATAAGTGTTTCTATCCCTAGAGGGTCTGACGTGTGTCCTCTTACAACTCCGTGCAAGAGGATTATAGAGAAAGGCATCATTAATTTGACTGGGAAATCGGGAAAGCTTTAAGGACGCTAAAATTGCCAGATTATTTTTATTGAAGCATTGTTTGGCTTACATCAATTCCCTGTTCAAAAATATTAAATAGTTCCCCATTCTAAGGTCCTAGAATTTGACTATAGGCTCACTTTCAACTGGACTGCTGTCAACTCCTATACTTTAGGATCTAGCTGAGGACTGTGCTGTTTGATGCTACTGAACACTTGAAATGTGGCTAATGTGACTGAGGACTGACTTTTTAATTGTATTTAATTTTAGTTAGTTTAAGTTTAAATTTAAAAATTAGGGGCGCCTGGGTGGCTCAGTTAAGTGTCTGCTTTCGGCTCAGGTCATGATCCCAGGGTCCTGGGATCGAGCCCCGCATTGGGCTCCCTGCTCCACGGGGAGCCTGCTTCTCCCTCTCCCACTCCCCCTGCTTGTGTTCCCTCTCTCACTGTGTCTCTCTCTCAAATAAATAAATAAAAATCTTTAAAAAAATAAAATAAAAATAAATTTTAAAATTAAACAGGGTACAATTTTCTATATTGATTGCATATTGAAATAGTAATATTTCTGCATATTAAGTTAAATAAAACACTTTATTAAAACTTATTTCACCTATTTCTCTTTAATGTAGTAACTAAAAAATTTTTAATGATAGATGTGGCTTGCATTGTATTTCTAGTGGACAGTGCTATTCCAGGGACACTGAAAAGTTTGCTTTTCTTGATATTGATATTTACACTCCAAATAAAACATCTTTTCCTCTATAGTTTTCTTCCTGATGTAAAAGACTTTTGTGGTTGTAAGTGACAGAAATCTAAGAATTTTTTGGCTCAGTAAATGAAAAGAACAAGAGATAAGAGTTCAGGCATAGTTGGAGTCAGGGACTCTGATGATATCATCAGAACCTGGTCTTATAGCTAGCTAATCCCAGCAAAATCAGAGCTTAAAATTTCCAGAAATAAGTCTCACTGGCTGGCTTGAATCACCTATCCATCTTTAAACCAATCACTGTGACAAAGGAAAAGGATTAAACTCATTTACCAGACGTTGGTCATGTACTTACACCAAGTTAGAATATGAGGATAATTAATGCCTCCCTTACATGAGCTGATACTGAGGATGGGCTTGTTCCTCAGAGAAAAAAATCATGAAACTTATTACCAAAAGAAAGAGAATCAGTAAGGAATAAGAAAAAGTACAGATACCCCAAAGCCCTGATTGCCCATGCTAAAAGTAATTTTTTTCTTCTTCAGTGGTCATATTTCATGGCCCATTCCTTACCATGCCCTTCATCATCTTCTGATGCCTCCTCTCTGGCTTTATTCTAATATGCTCCTTTATGATCCCCTTTTCTAACCCCTAGCTTATCCCTCCCAAATAGCATACTTCAGGCAGTTCCATGAATAGGATACTCTCTCTCTCTCTCTGACTTCTGTTTCTTTTCCAATTCCCTTCCTCTCCCCACCCCGCCCCACAAACACAACCCAGCTAAATACCCATGAAGTCCTCCTTACCCTTATCCTTCAAGTCTTAGTTCGTCACTTGCTCTGAACTGCGATCCTGGATTCCCCCAGCCTAGTACATCTTCCATTATTTTCCACCTTTGTGTTTCCTCTGAAACTGTATACCTTTTACTACGTCACTTTCAATGTAACATGTATAATTTGATTGCATGCCAGGACCAATGTAGGGTAAGTTCTCCCTGAAATAGTACATTAAGTGAGAGTATTATTGAGAAGTGTTGAAATGATTAGGAGTCAACCAGGTACGGTAAAGCACCTATAGCTTAGCAATGGTAGAAAGCTGTTATCACCCCTAGACCTGAAAGGCAAGGAAGAACCGTGTTACTGGAGCTTGATCAGAGGTATAGTTGAGGAAGAGAAGCAGCCAGAGAGGAGCCTGGCTGTGTGGAGAGCAATGTAGCCACTTCCCAAACCGTGGCCTCACAGGATGAAGGGGATACAAAAACATACTTCAAATTCTCTCTCTCCATCTCCTGCTTATGCATCTATTGGCTAAAAGCAACCAGAAGGAAAAGGGCCAATTAGTCTAGTATATGCTGTGTAGAGATCAGCCTCCAGGCAAAAAAAGCAGGACAGGAAAGGGCAAGACCAACAGAATAATCTGCAGAGTCCAATTATTCTTTTTTGTATTTCCAGTCCCTAGGACGACTCCTTACATAGAGCAGATGATAAATATTGAATGGATGAATGAGCAAATGACTCTCCACAAATCTCCCATAGTCCTGGTTCCTTCAATTCATTTTTTCTTAACAAACACAATAAATATAAATGTAAAACTAGATGTGATTTAATTTGTAAACCTTTGTAATGCTTTCAAATAAATAAATTCACAACTTAGAAGAAATTTTTTGTGCAATTGTGTTTTTCAAATTAGATTTGGAATTATCAGCATCATACTTATCAGGAAACTTAATGTGCTTAGCCCTTTACCTATAATAGCTAATTAATCCTCATGGCACCCCAGTGAAGCTGGTATTCTCTATCTCTTTTAGAGATAAAGAACCTGAGGGTCAAAGGT